GTATGGCAGCCCATATGCTATCGGGTAAACCGGGCATGCAAAACGTGGTATTGCAGTTGGTGTCTGAATTTGAAGGCGTGGTCAGGATACTGGAGAGTCTACCGGCGAACTCAACACTGATCATCAAAGTCTACCTAGGGGAACCATCGGGGAATGAGGTCGAGATCGTTAAGGGGGTCAAACTCGGGTGGGTGAAACGACACCAGTATCACGTTTGCACAGTTTACGTGCGGGTGGGTGTCGGCTCCAACACCAGTCTGCAGGGTGTCACCGTGATCGTGGAAAACACGATATCACTAACCAAGATCTTCCTACCCGACAACATACACTTCATGGGGGTGAAGTTCACCCCTGAACTATTATCAGAAAACCAGTTGGAAATTACCTCGTAATAGTATTATAGCAATGACCAGTCATCGTCCCAACACTACACTTAACGATCTAGGGGACACGGAGGGATTCGATCAGCCTGGTGAGGAAGGTGGCTCATACGTCCTACACTTGAAAGACAACGTGTATAGGCGGGCAGCAATAGCCGATCATCTACCCAAACTCACACTCAGGGACCTAGAGGGATTCGATCAGCCTGGTGAGGAAGACACCTTGTACGTCCTACAATTAATAGGTGGTGTGTACGTGCTGAGGCGCCTGCCAGACGACTTTATGAGAAGTCTGCACAATCACTTTATGGAGTCCAAATGGTTGCTCAACATAACCCTCACCACACCTTACGTCTCTTTTCATAATGGTAGGCATATCGCTGAAATTAAGAACAGCGGTATCTTGCTCGGGGGGTTTCAATCCAACGGCCCTAAAAAAATTAGAATTTCCCAAATCCCAAATCACCCTGGTTACATGTTAGATGCACCCGGGAATGCACAGTTATCATTTAAGATATACTCTGACCTACCATTTCCTAGGTTTATGCCTCCAGGCTCCACATTAATCATAATACTCTTTTTTAAAACGTCCATGGGTTCTCATGGGACCTTTTATCTGGGGTGCGAATAGACCATTCTTTTATTGGCTTTGAAGACCGCCATTGTAGTATCGTTATACGACGGGACTCGGGGCCGGGTGAGGGGTTGCTGCCCCTTAATAAGCTCCAGTATATTTAGGGTAAATTCCCAAAAATTACCTATTGACCTTTCCTCTATTCACCTACCGAGAACGTAGGCCTTATAAACTTCAAGTAAGTTGATCGGCTATTAACTGATACCCAATTAAAAAATATTTTATCAGATATATTATAGGCACACAGAATGGGTCTATACCCAGTCGTAGAGGAAGTAGCGAAGACCCTGGAAACCGTAGACAGGTTCCGTTTGAGACAGTTATGTGATGTAAAACGCCAACTAGAACAAGACCGCGACACGCGTAAAGCACTATGTAAGAAGTACCATAGAGCTTTCAATATCGTGGACGGGGCTGATACTGCCCTTATGACAACCAGCATGGGGCTAGGAGCGACAGCTGTTGGGTTGTTAGCTACCATCGTGGCTACCCCCGTAGTGCTAGGCATTGAAATAACAGCTGGGGTGGCAGGGGTGTTAGGGTTGGCGCTTAAGTTTGCATCACGCAGACTGCATCGTAAGGCATTGAAACACGACGAGATCAGGGTTCTGGCCGAAGCAAAGCTGAACACGGTAAGTGAGCGTATATCCACGGCACTCACTGACAGTAAGATCTCCGAGGAGGAGTTTCGTTCAATCCTCTCTGAACTCACAAAATATAACAAAATGAAACAAGAGATTCGTTCAAAGTCTCGTAAGTCTGCTATCAGCGAGGATGAGAAAAAAAAAGTACATAGAACAAGGGGTGAAAAAAGCCCAGCAAGCCTTTATTACAAACACCAAAGAGATCATAGGCGATTCACATTAAACTGTTTCATCGAGGTCAACGTGACATAGTGCCCCAGGATAGACCCGTTAAACCAACATACTTCAGCCAAGTCCCCGGTAGCTCAGTTGGTTAAGCGGTGCGGTTGTGGGGTATACATGTGGAGTTCGTATCCTGCTGGCGTCTCAAACTTTTTTATAGTAGGGGTAATGGTAGCAAGAGCTAAGGGTCCGACCAAAGCCTTATTTGGGAAATAAGGCTTTGCAGAGGATTTTGTTGGACTTGGTCCAAAACCCCCATTGTATATACTACTAAGTAACCATCCCGATTTGGAATATGACTGTAGTATTCTTAATAAAGACATGAGCATTGAAGAAATTATGTCTACCGCCAAAACATTCAAACGAAATAAAGCAGCGGGCTTTGACAATATTGAAAATGATTACATAATCGATACTATTGACATCTTTGCCCCCTTCTATGTTCAATTTTTCAACCTCGTTTTTACAACAGGTAAAATTCCCGATTCTTGGCTGATTGGAGTTATAAAACCGAGATACAAAAACAAGGGTGACCAACTTGACCCAAGTTCATACAGACCTATAACTGTTTTAAGCTGTGTTGGAAACTTGTTTACCTCTATACTAAACTCGCGTTTAACATCTTTCCTTGAACAAAACAATATCATTACTCCCGCTCAAGCAGGTTTTAGAAAACATTTTACAACATCCGATAACATATTTATTTTTCGGACAATTAATAGCATACTGACATCACAAAGGCAAAAGCTCTACTGTGCCTTCATCGACTTCACAAAAGCATTTGATACTGTCTGGCGAATCGGTCTATGGACGAAGATGCAAAAGTCCGGTATACATGGAAGATTTCTTGAGCTCGTAAAAAGTATGTATCGTAACATTAAGTCAACAGTAAGTACACAAAACAGTACATCCGAGTATTTCCCATGTCAAAAAGGGGTACGGCAAGGAGAGAACTTATCGCCACTTTTATTTTCAATTTTTCTTAATGATCTAGAGAATAATCTGTATGAAAATGGTTGCGAAGGAGTTAACTTGGAATTATCTCACGAAAATGAAATACAAATCTGGCTGCAAATTTTATTGTTACTTTACGCTGATGACACTGTTTTATTTGCCCTTACTCCTAAAGCCCTACAAAAGTCTCTTGATTCCTTCTATGAATATTGCACAAATTGGCAACAAAGAATTTAGTATTCGGTTCAGGCCCAGCAGCTATATCAAAAATGATATTTAAATTTGGGGAGAAAAATCTTAGTTTAGTGGACAGTTATGTATATCTTGGTATAAAACTACACAGAAACAAAAGAATGGTAACTAGCATAAAAACTATAACCGAAAACGCTACAAAGGCTATGTATAGCCTGCTGAAAAAAGCAAGAAATTTGAATTTACCCTTAGATTGTTTATTATCGGCATTTGATGTGATGATAACACCTATTTTAACCTATGGATCAGAATTGTGGGGATTTGAAAGACTTGACCTAATAGAGAATATACATCTAAAATTTCTGAAACTTGCATCTGGACTAAGGAAATCTACGCCGAATTTTATGGTTTATGGCGAACTTGGCAGAACTCCAATATCTATAAAAATATACCAACGTATGTTATCCTTTTGGCACAAACTAACATATACTGATACACTTAAACTATCCCATGTGTTATATAATTACAGTTTAAATAAATACAATAAAAATTTTAAGTCGGATCCTTGGATTCACTTTATCAAGGGTTTACTAGATAGAATTGGATTATCATATGTATTTGTAAATCCCTCGGTATATACTACGTCTTCTCTAGTTTTGAAAGCTGGACAGGTTTTAACAGACCAGTTTATTCAACAATGGAGGGAAAGTATCAAATCTAGCCCGAAAGGAATGTATTATCAACATTATAAACAATTACTTGCTTTTGAAAAATACCTACTTTTACCGAAATATGTTTCTGTGCCGATTTTAAAATTTAGAACTTTAAATGTAAACCTGCCAATTGAGACTGGAAGATGGCAAAGTATACCGAGGGATGAAAGATATTGTACACTTTGTAATTTAAGTGTAATCGGTGATGAATTACACTATATTCTTAAATGTCCAGCACTTAATTCATATCGTGAACAATATATACCCACCACAAAATATCTTAACAATACATCTAAATAAGTCTTTGTTCTTTCGCCGACTACTACTAGATATAAGAAATGTTTGTCAAATTTTATCATACAGTTGCAAAAAATGCTAACCAATCTTTAATAAGCGTTTGTGTTTATCAACCTATTAATATATGCACTTATTTATATATAGGGAACTGTACATATGTATAAGGAATTATTTATTGTATTCAGTTGTCTATCTAAGACGCATGCCTATGAATTGTACATAAATTGTTGTTAAAATATGTTCTTGTACCACCGAAGGTGGTTTTTTGAGTAATAAAATTGTCGAATTGTTGACAGCCTCGTGTGACGAGGGGGTGTCTTGTAGCGTTGCTACCTGCTGTGCGTGGTTAGGCGACGTTCCTTTGTATCAGGCTTGGACATCTGAGGATGCAGGCCTCAGATGAATGGATGTTATCTTGAATTGTCTCACAGCAAGACAAAGAAATTAAATAGATCGTGACATTGTACGTATGATTGTTTGTTTTATATCAATGAAAGATCATCCAGAGATTCCCACAAACAAGAGTGGCATTTGCGTCCCTTAAAAATACCATTATGCTTGGCTCAAAACATGTGGCAAAGATACTCGTGCAGCATAAGGATTTGAGTGTGACTCTTTTAGGGAGTGTGAAAAAAAATTCCGTGCATGGAAACTCGCAAAAGTAGGGTGTGTCAAAATTAACAAATAATTGTACTTTTGTTTTAGTTATTATTATTTCAGTCTGATCATGTTGATTAAACAAACTGGTGATTAACATCATGAACTTCGAACAGCAAAACGTGGATGCAAAGGCATCCATTCCAGCGAGTCACCGAATATGATACGGTCGCCTCCAACGTCATGCTTAAACTTTTGTCGGAAACAATCACGTGCCCAATCCTTTAATTACGTCACGATTATATATTTTGGTTTGTTACTGACATACACAGAGACTCCTAGAACCGCCCTCGGACACTATACTTACCTACAATTATCTTCTTGTCGCCGCTGCAGCTAAGTTCACGTTGTGTGCCGTCACATTTGAAGTTGATTTTAATGTCTCCGTCATGCGCAGAGGTGACTTCAAAGGTCTTGCTGACGACGGTGCTGTTAATGTCGACAACGTGGTGTCTTGGTACCAGCTCCTGCTGGACACTTCCGGTGATGAGGTCGAACGCAGCCTCCTCGGTACAGTAGTAGTTGGTGATGTTGACAGTGAGAGTCAGGCTTGTACCAGGAATCAGGGATCCATTCCTGGAGCTGCTAATGTCACACTCCGGAGGACCTGTGTATAAATAATACCGACCGAATATGGATGCAAGACGTTGTTTTTAAGTGGGTTTTTATGAAAAAGTTTTCTCACAAAATCATGATGGACCAATGTATGATTTGTTTTAATATATATTTATAATGTATAATGGGTTCTTTGAACCAAAGGGTTACTGTATATTGTGTAAATATATGAACGTATACATGTATGCGCTTTACCTAGGGACTGTATTTGTGTAAATATATGAACGTACATGTATGCGCTTTTATGAATGACTTTTTCGCTTTTCGTTGACTTGTGTCAAAACACATTCATGATCTAAGTTATTGTGGTGTAAACTAGAACACACACTAAAAGACTTCGACATCAATAATGGCTTTTCGACAGATTTTAAAAGAATATCCATACGTGCGTGCATGTTTGCATTGTTCACGTATGTCTCAGAATATACTTAAACAATTTACAAATTTTATATGTCTATTTACTTTTGAGAAGTTTCGTCACTCCACGACAGGAAAGATAGCGTATGAACGAACGAGAAAGCATGAATGTACAATAACTTTAAAAAGTAAGAGGGTAAGCTAAGTATTATTATTGACAAAAATATTATCTTATAATAATCATCACATTTATTGACGTGAATATTTCTTACACTCGAAAAAGCACCTGTAAAACTGAGTTCAAGGGAACGTAGGAAAGAATCACAAAAAGATTATATTTGCTGTAAACTCTTTAAGGCATGGCAAGTGTGTCTCTTGTCATCCTGATTCTTCTGACAATTTGAGTTGCATAGATAAGGTGTGTGTGTGTGTTCTTTGATTGTCGAGTTTTAAGGACTTCCATTTATAACTGAAGACTATTCATGCTTTTATTTTACAGAGATGTGAAAAGTGCACCGAAATCGAACTGAGACAGGAACATTTGTACATCAATAAGAACACATATGATTTACTTACACAATTTTTCGAATGTTCACACAATACATTTTAAAAACATCATGTAATCTGTTTTTGATCTGATAATTTCTACTTACTCTTGAGAAGTTTCACAGCTCCATGACAAACGAGATTATACGTTGAGTTGTCACACGTATAGTCCAGTTGAACATTTCCAAGTCCTCTTAGGGTTACGTTGAAGGTGGTGTTGAGGACGATGTCAGTGACATCAGTAACTGTGTTGTTCTTCAGCAACACCTCGGGTACGTCACGGCCAGTAGTTAGTTTAAACCCTGCCTTTTTTTGAGCAGTAGTAACCCCGTATGCCTGCGACCAGTGTCAGCTCTGAATTGGGTTCAAGGGAATCGTATGACAGAGAGCTGGTGATGGTGCAGTTTGGCAGACCTGTTGACAGAGGAAATAAATTTGACAGTTATGTCAACAAAATTAGTTCTCTTTTAGCTTCCGAAAATTATTAGTCATTATTCTTCTGTAATCAACATGAAGTTAAGACAAGAGAAAAACATTAGGTAGGTAATGGTAAGACGTCAAACAGGTATATGTTATGTGTCAATTATGTTACAGTCACGACATTCACGAGAGGTTCATTTGTTTTGAAAGATATAGGAGAGTGCTCGGTTTTAATCAGAATACTCCGTTTTCAACAGTGACGCGAAAGAAAATGCAACCTGTTAGCACAACATCGTCTGTATTATTGATATGAGCGACGGTTCGGTGTAGTTACATACACCCTCATCAAGCAAGTAGCGTCTAGCTATAGAACGCTCCTCACTAGCTACACCGAAACGCTCATGTTAATTATAAAGAAGCTGTATATCCATAGAACTCATCACACCAACTTATAAATGCCACTCAAAGAAGTTAACAGTTCTACATAATAATTCGTCTGATATTTAATAATATCAGAAAGTTTAAAAGGAAATTTTAGAAAAAACTGACGCTAAACATATTCAACACAAAACTGAAAATTTCAACTGCCTATTTCACTTTCTCATGTTAAGCATTCGTGTTCAGTAAGAATTGTTTTGGGTTTGTGGAAGTCGCCTCAGAGACTGACAGTGACGGTTCGACTCTCGGACTTGACTTAACCCGAGCCAAGTGTTATCCCAAATATAACCAGTAACATCTAGTCACTTTTTAAAGGCATGTGTATTCATTATGTCAGTAACTGCCTAAGCCAGCGTCCTTTCTGTGATCCTATTTATGTGAAGGTAAGAGAACATACGTCAGTTTTGTAACGGTATTCCAATGTGCCAACAGGACAAAGTGGTATATTTTTAAAACACATTTGCATGTAAGAAAGACTGTTATATTTGAACATGACGCAGGACGCCAAAACAAAACATCAACAAAGGATAGAAAGATAGTTGAACTGTTTTGAAAGAATCAAGATCAACTTGATACATAACGCCATGAAAACAACACAAAATAAAATACTAAGTCATATTATATTGAGATATCGTTTCTCGTGATATTGTCGATTTCACCCATTGTAAATGCAGTATGTATTCATGCATACAAACCTGCGACCGTTAAATGGCATGCGGGCACTGTGGCAGAACTTGTGTTGGATATGACCCATGTTCCAGCATCTCTGATCTGAACCCTCCCTATCGTAAGGGTGGTTATATTTTCGGCATTCTTCTGGGTTGCAGAGTACGTAGTCGTGCCGCTGCATTGTGGACTACAAGTGACGACGTACTGGCTGTCGCTGGGGCGTACCCAAACGAAACGATCGTATACAATCTTTGCAGAGATGTCGTAGGATCCCGAAAGACGAGCTATTGCCGGGCATGGAGATTCTGTCGATACTGCAACAGAGGTCACCAAGTATCAGTAATCAGTATCATTCTTCTGATTTAATAGACATTCGTACGAGTGATTGAGTTTAATTTTAAAGCAATGCATATACCAGTTTTTTAATGTTGACGAGCAGCTGTAAATATATAATCAGTGAAACATGCGATTCTTGTAAAGCGTAAAGCCATACTCACTAACTCATCACTAAGATACCATGGACTGTGCTTCTCACACTCGTGAAACGTATATTTGTTTAACGTTTAGACTAGAGGAGCAAGTGTATACAAGGCGCAAGTAGCCATTTTGATGCTGCTGTTACCGTGTCTACTATTGCTGTAGACGATGCATCGAACTATCGATAGATTACAATTGTTGGAGCAATTAATCGATGGCAGAAACGAAAATCTATCGATGCATCGATAGTATGTGTGACTATCGATAGTTTAGTAATTGACTTCCGCTGATAGATGCGCAGCGCAACATACAGGAAGTACCAGATTCGTTCACTTTGATTAGATCTTATCCACCCCTGTTACCTCTTAAACAAACATATTGTCAATAACACAAGTTTAAATTTATGTTAAAACTGTTTACTTTATCTGGGTTTAAAGTTTCTTGTCGGTTATTAAAAGAGACTGAAACTACTTCAACTTTTTTCTGTTTCATATACACTATGACTTCAAACTTCAAGTAGAAAAGAACTAATGCAATAGTATTGCAATAGTATGTTGCAATAGACCATTGCAATCGCAGTAGTATGTTACGATAGACCATCGCTATCGCAGTAGTTGTTTCCCCCTCAAGAGTCCCCCCTAGTGTCTACTACTGTTGCTACTACAACTACTGGTGATCGAGTTGTCAAACCTTACCCGTCACAAATTGTGCTGACCACAGCATAATGCTGTAAATCAATACCATCGACAAAGACGCCATTTTCAAGATGATCTGGAACAAAATACAGGCATTGGTAGAAAGCGAGGGAGTGACATGGAATATACGGGAACACTGCCTGTGTTGTATGTACATAGAGACTAAAGGCAACGGTACTTCAGCCATGTAGCGACACTGTTTCAGCCATATAGCGACACTGTTTGAACCATGTAGCAACACTGTTTCAGCCATATAGCGACACTGTTTGAACAATGTAGCAACACTGTTTCAGCCATATAGCGATACTGTTTGAACCATGTAGCAACACTGTTTCAGCCATATAGCGACACTGTTTCAGCCATACAGCAACAGTGTCTGAGCTATATAGCGACACCGTTTCAGTCATATAGCGACACCGTTTCAGCCATATAGCGATACTGTTTGAACCATGTAGCAACACTGTTTCAGCCATATAGCGACACTGTTTCAGCCATCAGTCATATAGCGACACCGTTTCAGTCATATAGCGACACCGTTTCAGCCATATAGCGATACTGTTTGAACCATGTAGCAACACTGTTTCAGCCATATAGCGACACCGTTTCAGTCATATAGTCACACTGTTTCAGCCATACATCGACACTGTTTCAGCTTTATAGCGACGCTGTTTCAGCATATAGCGACACTGTTTCAGCCCTATAGCAACACTGTTTCTGCCATATGGCGACAGTGTTTCAGCATATAGGGACACTATTTCAGCCATACAGCGACACTGTTTCAGCCATACAGCGACGCTGTTTCTGCCATATAGCGACACTGTTTCTGCCATAAAGCGACACTGTTTCAGCCATACAGCGAGTCTGTTCCAGCATATACCGACACTGTTTCAGTCATACAGCGACACTGTTTCAGCCTTATAGCGACGCTGTTTCTGCCATATAGCGACACTGTTTCTGCCATATAGCGACACTGTTTCTGCCATATACCGACACTGTTTCTGTCATATAGCGACACTGTTTCTGCCATATAGCGACACTGTTTCAGCCATACAGCAACACTGTTTCGAACAAAAGGTACCTGTGTTTCAGCCATACAGCGACACTGTTTCAGCCAAAATGTAATTGTGCTTCAGTCATACAGCGACAGAGTCTGAGCCATATACAGAAAGCAACCTTGCAACACTGTTTCAGCTATATTGCAATGATGTCACTGTCCGATAGAGACACTGTGACGTGTGTTTTTTTCTAATGAAATTGTCATGATATTTGTACTCGACAAATGTAATACTCTTCATTTGAAAGGTAATTAATGATGGATCAGTCAACACACGCACGCACGCACGCACGCACACACGCACACACACACACACACACATACATACATACATACATACATACATACATACATGCATACATACATGCATGCATGCATGCATGCATACATAGCCGTGAAGATCCGGGTTAGAATTGATCTTCAGTAACCCATGCTTGTCGTATATTGCGCGTTTGTCTGGTCCCTACTCGATTATTTACAGACCGCCGCCACATAGCTGGAATATCGCCGAGTGCGGCGTTAAACAACAAACCATCCCTGCGTGTGTATCATCAAATTATACACTGTAATTACAATGTCTAATGTTCCGTCTTTTTACATTCCTAATGCATGGGAAAGCGTGACTTGGCTATGGTACACAGCTAATGAGCAATAATGCGACACAGATATTTTAATTCTATCACACTTCCTAAGTAAGAAACTGTTACATTTCATTCTAGTTGTACTGCATTCTCTCCCACAAGGCTGCTGAGACAGGGGCTATATCTTTGAGATGTTGAAAAAGTGAAGCCGACATAAAATTTTTGTAGTCTTGCTCTGATAAAACGTCAGTTTCAGTCAGGTAGTGACACTGTCTCAGCCATCTAGCTACATTGTCTCAACCTAAAGGCGACCCGTGAAGATACGGGGTAGAATAGGTCTTCAGCAACCCATGTGCTTGCCATAAAAGGCGACTATGCTTGTCGTAAGAGGCGACTAACGGGATCGGGTGGTCAGTTTCGCTGACTTGGTTGACACATGTCATCGGTTCCCAATTGCGCAGATCGATGCTCATGCTGTTGATCGCTGGATTGTCTGGTCCAGACTCGATTATTTACAGACCGCCGCCATATTGCTGGGATATTGCTGAGTGCGGCGTAAAACTAAACTCACTCACTCACTCACAGAAGAGGAATATGTAGGAAACGATGACAACAATACCAGTTACCTCCCAATTTCAATAGAAATCGATGAAGCGTGAGCGAGTGTACAGTGGAGGGAGGTACTTGAATGTGCAGTGGACCGAAGAAGACTCCCTAAAGATGTGGTAACAAAGGGGACAAAGGAAGGTATTGAATTGAGCGGTGTGAATGGAGCGACGATGGTGTTCGTTGGGTTGGATAGGAAAAGTCCGCCTGCTTTAAGACTGTCGTCTGCTAGCGAACCACTTCCGGTTTACACGTCCGAGGAAGGTTGCTGAAACAGTCTCGTTGCGTCGTTGCGGTGTGTGTGTGTGTGTGTGTGTGTGTGTGTGTGTGTGTGTGTGTGTGTGTGTGTGTGTGTGTGTGTGTGTGTGTGTGTGTGTGTGTGTGTGTGTGTGTGTGTGTGTGTGTGTGTGTGTGTGTGTGTGTGTGTGTGTGTGTGTTAAATGTAATCGGTATATTTAATACATTTGAATGAAATTGCGGTCATGTAGGAATGTATGTGCGTGTAGATTTTATGCATATATCTGAACATGAATGTATGACACCTTTCAATAGATCCATTACGGTTCTAACCACAGCATGAAACATTACTATGAGTGTGGCTAGCAGTTCGTATTTATAAACACATCGTAAGTAACAGATTTCTGATGAATGAACTCGCCCGCACACATGTCTAGGGTCAACATAACTCTGGGTATTTTCAGACCATCCAACTGTAAACAGTTACACATTGATAACAGGAGGGTGTAGCGTTTGTGCGGAATGCACTCATCCTTGTAAAGGTAAATCCATGTAAAAATACGCGTTTAAACTCACAATTTAAATGATGGCTTTACTTTTTAGCTGTATTGCTATGGATGGGAGGTTCGTAGATCTGTGAAGTGTGTATCGATGCCTGTCTAGGGACTACACATATATTATCATCGAGGTATATAAGGATTATATTCTAAGTATGCAACAAAAAAAACAAGCAATTCCATTCATATCACTCGCTCACGCTTCATCGATTTCTATTGAAATTGGGAGGTAACTGGTATTGTTGTCATCGTTTCCTACATTATCCTCTACTACTCACTCAACCTAAAGGCGACTGTGTTTTAAAACATAGAGCAACAAGCCTCGCGACACTGTTTCACCATAACACGATCGTCGTTTAGTCAGATAGCGAACCTTTGTGATCGGCAAGGTGTAAATGGGCCCTGTTGCCAGAACACCTATTTCAATTTTAATTATCTATCTCTCTATCTACAGTGACTCGGCCAAACAGCAAGAGGCTTTCCATTAGTATAGCGACATTGTTACGGCCGTACAGAGACGGTGTTTCACCTATACATGTACTCTGTTTCACCTATATATAGACACTGTTTCACCTGTACAAAGACACTGTTTCACCTATACAAAGACACTGTTTCACCTATACATAGACACTGTTTCACCTATACATAGACACTGTTTCACCTATACATAGACAATGTTTCACCTATACGTAGACTCTGTTTCACCTATACATAGACACTGTTTCACCTATACATAGACACTGTTTCACCTATACAAAGACACTGTTTCACCTATACAAAGACACTGTTTCACCTATACATAGAGGGTGCTTCACCTATACATATAGTCTGTTTCACCTATACATAGACACTGTTTTACCTATACAAAGACAATGTTTCACCTATACATAGACACTGTTTCACCTATACATAGACGGTGTTTCACCTATACAAAGGCACTGTTTCACCTATACAAAGACACTGTTTCACCTATGCATAGACACTGTTTCACCTATACATAGACACTGTTTCACCTATACATAGACACTGTTTCACCTATACATAGACACTGTTTCACCTATACAAAGACACTGTTTCACCTATACATAGACACTGTTTCACCTATACATAGACACTGTTTCACCTATACATATACTAGTACTCCGTTTCACCTATACAAAGACACTGTTTCACCTATACATAGAGGGTGCTTCACCTATACATATAGTCTGTTTCACCTATACATAGACACTGTTTCACCTATACAAAGACAATGTTTCACCTATACATAGACGCTGTTTCACCCATACATAGAGGGTGTTTCACCTATACATAGAGGGTGTTTCACCTATACATAGACACTGTTTCACCTATACATAGGCGCTGTTTCACCTCTACATTGACACTGTTAACACAGACGGCGTTTCACCTGAACAAAACACTGTTTCACCTCTACATAGACACTGTTTCACCTATACAAAGACACTGTTTCACCTATACATAGACACTGTTTCACACATACATAGACACTGTGTCACCTATACATAGACACTGTTTCACCTATACATAGACACTGTTTCACCTATACATAGACACTGTTTCACCTATACAAAGACACTGTTTCAGCCATATAGCGTGACAAACACGTATGTGATTTTGTAACTGAATACTGAATATAGTAGCCGGTGATGCAGGAAGAGTTTTTACTCTTAAACTCACTACAAATGTTTGCAGTTAATCAAATAGGAAGCAGACGAAGTATTGATTGAGACATTAAGGTAAACATTGGTTGGTAATATCATTACCGAATGAGTCAACTAAATCGATTGTACAATATGAAAGTTTACAAAAGTAATCTAAAACTACCTCATCGTGATATGACAGTGAATGTATCCCGGTTGGTGTAAGTATTCAGGTGTGAAATCAACACGTCGAAGAGTTTGGTGTATCAGAATGCAATTGGTACCATATACTTTAAAATCTTTCTAGAATATAGTTGGCAGCGGTACTAACCCTTACCCATCCAATGGAACTGCAACTCTCATCTACCTACAACGGTATT